GGCGGCAGTTTTAATATTAGGGGAGGCTTTAATAATAGTGGGAAGGGATTATGTATGTATACACACTATACGAGTCTTCTACCTGGGCGTTGCTTTCTGCCGTGCTTGTATTGATTCCTTGGCTGCTCGTTGTTCTATAGCCTTCTTGCTTGACTTGGTTGCATGCGAGATGTCACGAGTGATGATGCGCGGGGTGATTCCGACTTTCTCCAGGCCCTGGCAGCCGTTCACACAGGTGCCGGGCATGTGCACAGCCGTGACTCAAAGACCTTGCACCGGGTTTGGGGTTTAGGGATGTTTATGTAGGGTTTGCAGGGACCAGTCATGAGCGACAGCGGCTATTGCATCATCAGCAGTGGGCCTCACACGAGCATCAGCCGGCCCTCCGGCGAGCATGAATATTGTCAGACGAGTTTCGGGCAAGCGCTTTCAGCATCAGTTCGCACGACCGTCGTCATCAGCCGTTTCTGTATCTAGACCAAGCATCAACAATTGATCGGGCCGTTGTCGGCAGCAATCAGTAGGCAACAGTAAGTTAGTTGTATCAGTTTGCATCGACTGGCCCGTGCAATAAACATCATGATCATGAGTGGGCCCTTGCAGGAGCATCAGCAGCATCATCCCATTCTCAGCCGAGTAGTTGATACCCCCAGCCTTTGTTTGTCTGCCTACCTGCCTGCCTGTTTGTCTGTGTGTCCGTCGGTCCGTCCGTCCGTCCGTCTGTCTGCATGAATGTATGTATGCATGTCTGTGTTTATATGATGTGTACGTATGTCTGTCTGTTTGTATGTATGTTGTGCGTGTACGGTGTGGCAGCCCAGGTATTGCTGCCTGCTGGCAAACCCACAAAACCTGGATATCTCAGCTTTGCTCAGCGGTCCCCCGGAGGACTTTCTGGCTGCCTTCCTTTGGTGTCGTGCACCTTCGCAGGTTCAGGGTCAATCCCGAAACAGACGAACAAAATAACAATGGCGTACTTTACCCAGGATCTGTTTCAGGCTACCGTGCCCACTTCATGAATGCCTGTAGTCCTCAGGTCCTCCTTGCTTTCCGTAACCGAAATAGCCGTGCGATCAGATATGCAAGCCACACATCGTTTCGCAGGAGAGCCCCTTCGCCAGGGCCATTCAGACGGCCTCGCACGTCCTGGTCATACCAAACGACACGGTCAGCGCTTGGGCTATGTAGGATCCTGCAGGCTTTGTCCTTTCTCTTTTCTCTGCTTCTTGCCTACCTACACAAGCGATGATTTTGGAACTTCGGTGGGTTGATTCTTGTGGCTCATATGTCCGAATCGGACAGTCAAGTCCTAAGACCTATTGGTGCTAGCTCCTCGTCCTAGCTTCTCCTGCGTCGGTTGCAGCCATGTCACAGTTTCTGTCGAAGGTATCTACACGCGCCTGTGGTGCCTCGGCTCTTTTGGTAGGGCTTTAGAACTTCAACTTTTTTGAGGATTCGGTTCAGACGTTCGCCAAGTTCAAGGTGTGTCTATGAAGCCTACCTGGGCACTTGCTGGCACAAGACCTGCATCATGCCGGCGCGGCCGAAGAGGTCGGCGCAGTGCAAGTCGGCGATTCGCACGATCCTCGTGCCAAGCATCATCGGGCTGGTGCTAGGCTGGAAGGCTATTCTCTTTTGGGTCGTTCGTTTATTTTGTTACGTAGCAATGTAGCCTTTGCATACTGCGACAATGATGGCAAAGTAGACTCATGACAGGTTTGACGTGGCTGTTGCTGATTTATCACCATTGTTGCAGAACCTGCTCGCGTTGCTTCGTGGATCCTGTCCTCAGTGCTTGCGTGGGGCTGACACTGCTTTGCTTCATAGGGTCGCTACTCATGGAATTTGCTCCCAGACCTCTTCGAATGTGGGTCAAATGCGTGCTGATCCGCATCGTACACATCCTGGTTATTTGCGTTTGTGCGGCAGTGGCTATCCCCTATTCCGTTCTGCTGGAATGGAAGAACAGCGTGTGGAATCACGTCTTCGAGCGGTTAATTCCAATCGCACTCTGCCTCTTCAACGTTTGGCGTGCGGCGCAGCTTAGCCTACACAGATTGGAGGACGGCTCGGATCATAGGGCTTTCAGCTGATGTCAGACTCGGTCCAAGGTCGTCTACTTTGGTTCGCTGGCGTGTTTGACAGACGTTGAGTTGCAGTGCAGAGATGAAAGTTGTGCAGATGGTGTTCTGGTTGTTTCCGGAGGTCCTGTTTCAGCCTACATGGGCTCTGTCACGCGACGCATGCGTTTGCTTTGGAGGGGCTGTCACGATTATAAACTATATATGTTTACGAGAACTTAGGTGTAGAGTCTTGAACGGGTGGCAACGCTGTTGGGCACTGCCCGCTCCGAGCTTCAGTCTTGGGAGATGTGGCTCAATCCTGCCTTGAAGGCGATTGAAAGCCATGAAGTAATTTGGAGCCTGGTCGACACGTTCCACTTGAAACAGCAAAGTGCATCCTTGAATGCTCAAGGGCGCAGCGGCGCCTTTCTGAAACTCCGAAAGCCTTCAAACCGTGAACTGCTGACGACGCAGGATGTGGAGCTGCGCAGGCAAGCCAGCCTGCTGGCCATTCAGACGCTGGAGGACACCATTCACGGATTAAGAAATTTACATGTTGCACTGCCTCCCTGCGCATTGAGAGGAAAATGCCGGATGCGTGGGTTCATGGTTTCTAGTTTGTAGTTTAAAACTCAGGTATGAACCTTTTCGTCAATGCCTTCGGTGGGGATCACTCAGGCGCATAGTTAGTCCGACGCCTGTTGGTCAGTATGAGGCGGTTTGGGTTCCCACTCCAAGAGCACTGAGCTTCCTGAACCTCGTCCTTTATGCGAGCATGGGCTCACGGGCTGCGACCCAACCAGCTGACGACTCCACTCCCTCCGCCGTGTGTGCAGGATGCTACCTGCTCCGATCCACACGACGAAGCCCAGATCCGTCAGGCCATACAAGGCTTCGAGGCCGGCGTATGTTTGCGGTGTGTTTTGTTGTGGGGGTTCTGGTTCGGAGGGGTATTACCGGTATAAACGGGGCCGCCAGCGTCATGTGCAGCATGGAGAACTGCTGAATTAGTCTCGTTGCGATGCCTCTGAGAGAGACCTTGCAGGCCGAAGTGGACGTGACGATTCGTGCACCTGTGCCAATAAATTGCTTGCAACGACTCTTTGGTATATCCTCCCACTATATGTCAATCCGAGTTCAGAGCCCTCAACAGTGGTGCCGGTCGTTAGGATGCAAGCCTGGAGTTATCAGTCATGAGGTATTGATGCAAAGTGGTGCCTACAATGATGCGCTCCGTGAAGCTTACGAGCAAGGCGAGGACATCAGCGGCGAAGGGAACAGCCACATGGGTGCACTTCAGAAGACAACTTTGGAGTGAGGAGAGAGGCAGAGACACAGAAAAGAGAGAGAGAGAGAACACGAGAGCGAGAGAGAACGAGAGAGAGAGAGAGAGAGAAAGAGAGAGAGAGAGAGAGCCGTGGCGTGGAAGAAGAAGGGGATGAAAGGTACAGGTAGAGCCAAGCTCTGCGACTTCACGGAAGAAACTCCTTATAGGTTTAGGCCGCGTTGCAGGGTTTAGCCTGTTTCGGCGTGCTCGGGAAGAGTGGCCGGGAGATCCCGGGTTGATGAAGCAGTGGATTCGGGGCTCTGTCGATGTGATCTTGAGACGTGAGCCTTGAACAGAGCAAGTCGGGGGCTGTCCCCATTGGAGGACCAGCCACCTCAGGACGCAGTGAAGTGAGAGGCTGTGTTTTTGGAGGCAACAGAAGCGACGCAGTGTTTGATGCAGGTGTCGACAGGCTTTGGTTTGGTGCGCTCCTACTCCTATCGAGTCGATTGAAGACCTACAGTCTCCATTGTAGTTCCTTTTTGGGGATGCCTTATAAAATCCTTATTACATTATTGGTTAAACCAAAAAAAGGAACTACAATGGAGACTACAGGGATGACTCCACTAATCCGAAGTCTCCCCTTTCCAGCCCGACCCAACTCCGCGCAGCCATGAAGTTTCCCGCAGGGGGCCTTCCCAAATTTGTTTTCCGATGTCGTGGGAGGTCTGCTCCTTGCAGACCGCATCCTCACTTCCCTAAGCTCCTCGAAAGTTTCCCCTAACCCCCCAAGTACCTACTATACAGGGCCCTAGCGGCTCTAGTACCCCATATAGTAGGTACCTGGCGGGTTAGGGTTCTCTCAGTGAGACCCAACTGGGGATCTCTGGCAAGAAAGGGAGAACGAGACAGGGAGAGAGAGGGAGAGAGAGAGCTCTGTGGGCAAAACTGGTACAGACTGTCAGTGATTCTGTGAAATGAACATGTCGGGCTTGCTGTGCCGGACAGGAAGATCGAAATTGGGCTTGAAACCTTTGATTCATGCAACTCTACTCTTCGCCCGTAATATCTCCTAAACTTCCAAGGTGATCTCATTGTAAAGACGGGCCTCGTGTCCTTGATCTGGCTGCTTTCCACGTTGGATTCCGCTGGCTTCCTAGACTCTTGGCGTGAATCGCTTAGCGCAAAAGATGATGTAGATCTTTGGGTTTTCGGTTTCGACCAGGAAAAGAACACAAAGAGTCGCAAACCTTAGCCCTAAACTTACACACCTGAATCAGCTCCAAGTTATGTGTAAGGACTCCTATTTGGTCTGCCTCGGGCCGCGTTACGAGCAGGGGACGAGCGGACTGCTCCTGCTGAGCCCCTGTGCCCAAGGTGTCTTTTATAGGGTCTTACGATTGCCTTACGGGTTCACTATTGGGTTTATATAGATTCTAGATTGAAACATAGCGTCTGTGGTCTACGGACGAGGTTCGCACTGTGAATCGACTTTGAGGCTTTCTGATTTCTGTCGCATTACCCGGGATGTTTGCTCAGCTTGAGGTGGTATTGCATCCGGACGTGTTGGTGGTGATGTCAACATTGCTAGCGCACGTTTGGGCACTTAGCCAGCATGGTTCTGCAGTCCTGTTCCCTGCAAACTATCAGTTGCAGTGTATGAACCATATCACTGGAGTGTGCATGATCGCTTTGTTGCTGAGGCGTTGCGGTGGCAATCCAAGCAGGTGCGCTCTTCCTGCCCCCTGGAAATACTCCCACTGGAATCACTTAGGATCGCGGTACAGTAGGGCCTCAGGAAGGACGCCTGAGGAAGCCAAAGAGTAGCGGATGGCAGACCTGCACCACCTGGCTTTCAACTTCCACGTTTCAGCACAGTTGCTGAATGTTAGCTTCGGCTCCACAGTTCATGAAGAGAACTGCCGTTGAACAACGCGGGGTAGTTTGTCCCAGACGAATGCCAAGGCTTGCGGCTTTCTGCAGTTTTGTAACAAACAAGCAAAATAAGTAGTCTTGCTGTAGACGTCTTGGCAGCGTAAGGTACCTTCAAGCTGACCCAGCAAGCAGGTTATTCCGAATGAACGGCTCCATAGTAGCTTAGAGTGTGGCATAGTCAGGAGTTTTTGTGTTGTTGGTGGTGGTGATGGTGGTCTTGTTGTTGTTGTTGGTGGTGGTGGTGGCGGCGGTGGTGGTGGTGGTGGTGGTGCTGCTGCTGCTGCGACTGCTGCTGCTGCTGCTGGTCGTGTCTTGTTTTGCTGTCGTTGTTGTTCCGCAGCATTGGTGGTAGTGGTGGGTCCGGAGTTCGAAGATGCATGTGCTGCACAGTTGGTCTCAGGTTTCCGATCACAGCCTGGCATTTGCAGCAGACGGGCCTCGAGCGCGGCGCATTTGCTGTGCCTCGCCCATCAAAGCCTGTAGCAGTGTAGCACAAGCAAACCATTTGTCGGTCTGCCAGCACCTACTTGGAGGTTCATGGGTAGTTATAATTGGGGTTAGAAGCAGGGTAACTATACTTATAACCCATATTAGGGGACTTATAATCCCACTTACAACTGCTCAATCTTTGCATCGTGGAATAACAGAAGCAGAGGTGTGAAAGCAGGCAGAGGATTCGGGCTCGAGTCGGTTTCCGGCAACGACGGACGACATGTTATTTGATGACTTCGATGTTCTGCATACCTGCATAAGCTTAATGCGTTCTACTGGTAGCAGCTGTTGGGGCGGTTATCGTACAAAGGCTACCTTGTTACAGGCAGACCAGTTCCCAGTACCAGAGCTGCACACAGCCTACCCTACCCCTACACTCTGCACCCGGAAGTTTGTTTTGCGAGGTCAAAGTGTGGACTTTCTCAACACTGCTTGGACTCGGCTTGCCATTGTTGCCTGTCCTATTCAAGCCGATTGGTTCTAGGCCCAGGCCTAGGCTATGCCTATAGGCATGTCCTCTCAAACTAGAGAAGAGGTTCTGACACAGGGATCAAGGGGGACTCTGGCAGTGGGTTCGGCGAGAGAAAGATGAAGATACCGCACAATCTGCAAAGCCAAAATCATACCCTAACCCCCCAGGTACCTACTATATAGGGCCCTAGGGGCTCTAGTAACCTATATAGTAGGTACCTGGGGGGTTAGGGATAAATCTATCGACCTCGGGGATGGAAACTTTTTGGTGCAACCTGTTCGTACCAGGACCAGGGATTTTGGGCAGCGGTCACGAGGTTCGGTGGTGCACGTAGGGCTAGGAAGAGTAGCCAAAACAGCTCTAGGACTGATGCCATGGCTATCATGGATAGAACGACCATAACAACTACCGCGTGGCGCCGAGTGGTCCGGTTATGAATAGCCAAGACGATTCCGTAATGTCGGATCTGGGTGCCCATGGCAAGACGATGGCAAGACGATGATACGAAGCACCATGCCAAAGTGGGTTTTACTGGCATCCCGGCACAAATCTCTCGGAGGACCTTATGACGAAATGATGGGGGTTCAGGTGCATCGGTTGTACTTTGTGGGGAAGACTCTGGGCGTCAAAACCCCGACCCAGATCCCAAAATCATGCTGTAGACAAATCTTCAACCACAAACCTCGGACAGTTGAACGTTTGCTCTCTCTAGCCGCTACCACTTGGGCATCGAACTGGGACTTCAACTCGTCCAAACCAGAGATTCCGCAGGCTGCTCGAGATCCAAATCAGGCTGATGATTGTGGATGCCTGCGGCGGAGGACCAGGCGTTTTTCCAGCACAGTCAATTGTAGGATATCATGTCGCTTTTTGGAAACATTCCACTCTTTTCTTCTAGAGAAGCCATTGCCGTAAATGGTCACAACGGCCGGCCCGCCCATGGGCCTTTTGCAGCCAAGAGCTTCGCGCAAGAGACTCCCCCAAAGCCTCACGAGCACCTAAACCCTGCAAACCCTTCGTTCGCACAACTCTTCAAACGCAACTGTCTTCTCCGAGCTGTATAACTCTATAACCTTGCAATCTTCATAAACCAAAAGTTACCGGATGCTCACGGCCGAGGGGCTTTTAACCCGTTTCCCAACCGCTGCGACTCCTGGGATCGATGGTGGCTTGGCTTGGCCTGTTTTTTTTTATTGTGGGGTTTTGGGGTTTGTTTAGGATCTCATTTCGCTGCAAAGCAGCATTGAGGGGCTCTTAGAGGGCTGTTGCCGTTGCCGAGCTCTGCGGTGGCTCGAGGTTTGAAGAAGCTGATTCCTGGCTCACGGGGCTTGTTCGTAGAACGGGTCCAGGTATCTAGTGCGTGTGTTTGACCCAAGCCTTATAATGCACTTTGCACACCAATGGATTCGTACACTATGACTTAATCAGCATGATCTGCACGTTCTGATTGTATTCTGGTTGTCGGACTCCGGATAGCAGCACTGCTTCTTGCAAGCTTCGGTCTCTAGCCAGGGCAGGAGGGTCTGAGAAAGTAGGGTTTCTGTTTTTCGATGCAGGTATAGGAGTTTTGAATGGTGAGATGAGCAGACGTACTGCACTTAACCCTACGCCAGATATTTCCTACATGTGATCTGCATGCCCAGAGGCCCGAGAGGGCCGCCTTAGGAGCAGCTGACTTCTAGTTCGTCAAAAGATAAGGCTCAGGGAAGCTACCTACTTCGCCTGCGTGTGTTTGTGCGTTTCTACTACTCGTATGTATCACATCGTAGGAACAAAACCAAATCACTTCACCTACCGGCAGGCTGATCGTGGCTTTCCTGCGGCCCCTCACAGCAGTGATATCTTTCACTTGCGCCTCAGCTTTGTGCGTGATGCCTGCAATGGGCATGGGACTGTTGAGAAGTCTTTCGTTTGAAGAGGGCCATCGTGGCATTGAAGCAGACATCCACGGACCGGGGAAGTCTGCAGCATAAGTGATTACCGCTTGTGATAGGATAGCAAGCGCGAGCTGTTGCAGTTTCAGGGATTCACGGACCACTTTCGCGCACAGGTGCTGTCGTGGGACCACCGTGTTATCGTCGGAACAGCAAGCGAGGCTTGGTGGAATGATTAGAACCATCTTGGTGGGTGCTGGCTGTGGGCAATTGCAGGGGGCGGCTGTGTGGTGATGGCCATGCAGTTGCCATTTCAGGTGCTCGTATCGATGTAGCTTGTGGGTTCATGATATCTATTCTAGACGCGCGCAGCATGGGTTAGATTGTGTCCACGGCATGCTGGGCCCGACAGAGAGTTCAATGCGGTCGTCGCTTGCCGACCGGGGCTTGCAGAAATTTGTTGCGGTCTTCTTTGATTCGGTGTTTATCTGCTTTGCAGAGTTCATTGTATTAGGCACCTCTCATCTCCCCATTGCATGCACTGGACCGTTTTTGGGTTGCCGCATGCCCGCCCCTACATGGCTGCATCGCCGGGAAGTAGCACGGTGTGTTGTTTTTGTTTGTGCATTTCTGCAGCCTCACCTTAGCGCGCGTGCCAGCGCCCACATCGGCAAGGTGCGTAAGAGAAACCGATGGCCAGCAGCCAAGGTGATATCCACAAAGCTAGCGAATCCTCGGAGAGTGAGTCTTCGGCAAGCTCCGAAGACACGGGATGATATGTACAGTATTCAAGGCAGGGTGTCGGACGAAGCTGCTCCGGTGGCGCAGCCCGGAGACTTTAGTCTCCGACGGTGGCAAAGTTCTACCTTGTCCTGGAAAAGGCCGGGAGACAGCACATCGGGGGCAGGCAGGACCAGCTGTTCTAGCGTGCTGGAGTTGGAACTGACGGGTTCAGACATCCCTTGAAACATTTCTATCACAATGCAAGCATCAAGTCCAGAACTCCTGCGAACATGCCGCTGATAGATGATCTCATGAAGCCACAGTCTGGTTCCAGACTGTGGTTTCGGGTTCGGGATCGTGGTGTGCTGGCTATGGCCTTGGAAAAAAGCACGACTGGAAAAGTCCCAGTTTGCATCCCACCCGCCCTGCTCCTGACCCTTCGGCAATAAACTCACTGCGACTCTGATCCCCGGAGATTTCGCTTCAAAAAAGTCGCTTCTCCCAAGATGCGCGAGCACCTTGACCCCAAGCCCCCACTCGAACTGCTGCGATCATCAGACAGAAGTATTCATGTTGACGCTTCCGGCCCACATCAACTACATCTTCCCTGGCTCCTCCCCCCTGTTGTCGAAAGGAGTACACTAGCCCCGCTCGATACCCGTATCTTTAGTCCGTCCTAAACCCTGAACCCTATAAACCCTAAACACACAAAACCATGGGAACCGGAAACCCTTTTGATTGAGCTTATCAGTATGCCCCTATACCACCTCGCTTGTGAGCTTCGTTCTCTGCTATGCGAGAGGGAAAAAAACACACACAAAGATGTATCCGAGGCCCGGGACCGGAAGCTGGAGTTCGAGCTCAAGTTGGGTACAGACCTGGCGCGCCTGGCGAAGCCTTGGGCTAAGACCCGGGCTGGCTTACGCTTTGAGGATTT